TAAGGAAAATTATATTTTGTAAGGTGTCCATTTATTAAGTTAACTGCCGTTTTGATTTTTCCTACCACTCAATTTGGGTCATACTACCCGTTAGAATAATACCTGGTACCAATGATGTGTGGTGGTCAAACTGCACACGGGTAAAGAGCAGATAGTGGTCGAACTGCACTCGTTTGAATAAAACTTAAAGCGGATTTATATTATGAACGTTTATGTATACGTATATTAACCTAATGCACAGCATAACGAACGTTTTGAATGCTTAAAAAAATGTTCTTGCCTGAAATACGACATTAATACACGTACGTGACTTATACTACCGCAGTCAATAAGAATCATCGTTTTTATAATCCATTTAATCTGTACTATAGACCAGGTAAGCGGTGAGATACCGTATTCGATTGTCATCCGCCCACGCATATTAAAATAGGAGTTAGTAGACCGTTTTCAAATCGTTATTTATAGTTAAAATAAAAACTTATTATGTACGTGAAAATTTGAATACATACCTACTAAATATAAAACTATAATGTAATGATTTATGTGAACGGATGTATGTATAATACACACACATACTGTCGAACAAAGAATTGACCGTTATTCTGGCGCTGCTCGAGCCCACCACGCACGTCGCGCGTATTAATTCGTACGTTCCTGTGCATTGTGATGCGCGCGTAAGCTCATCGTGTAGGTTACTACGAGGTGTATACCTACGGCAGATAATACGTATGATGTGTATGTTGTACGACGACGCTCTACTTGAATATTAGTTATTTTACGAAATAATTGTAGTAATTGCATGCATCGTGTTTATTGTGTACGGTGTTAACGTACGAACGGGCGCCGACGAGAAAACCTATTGAGGTACTCAGATTTTAGTTCATGACAATATTCGTCGGATTTGTTGAAATTCTATCGAAAATAAAATCTCCAACAACCGACTACTACGTGTTTAATTATAATCGCGAAACAATATACACACCTTTATACACAAGCGATATTTAAATATTTCTATGGAAATTAATTCAATAATAAATTGTTATACCTACTTGATACAATAGCGAATTACTGAAAAGCTAGACGAGGAACATACTTGCCCCTTCCCAATCTGGACGTCCATAATATCGTAACTATACGTATAAGCAACACATGTCGTGAAATTGCATACCTATGCACACGCTATAATACCTTTGGTTTTAATGTACGCCAGTTTGCATTTGTTTATTTGACATAATAATATTTGTTGCAACAGAAACGCATTAGCACGTAACAATAATATTCCACCTAACGAGTGCCCAACAATTCATATTTGCACATCAGTGCGTATAGTGGTGGTTATACGTAGTTGAGTTTTTACTGTTTCAATCACCTGTTGAACGTGTAAAATACTTGTTTATAACCATGAGTGCATATTACATTAAGAAACAATACATTAGTCTATCTGTACGCGGATATAAAAATATTGGTTAAAATCAAAAAAAAAAAAAAATCCATCGATCTCTAGAAGGTAATGAATTCAAGGTTTTTCCCGGTTCGTCGGCTAACACGATAATTTCTCGTCGATAGCTGCGCATTGTGTTAAGTTAAAAGTAATGTACATGTTTTTTTTGTTAGTTCAATATTTTCAATATTCACGCAAACTTGCGTCGTTAGAAAGATCGAAAGAGTTGACGTTACAAATGATTCCGGCAATGAATACTAACCGAAAACAACAGCACCAAACAATACATATAAAAACTCTTAAACATTGTGCATGCGTGCGTACATCTTTGAATAGGTAATAAGTTAGTGAAGGCGAACTGCAGCAACACCGTGAACAGGCATACGCTTCGTTACGTGTGTACGTATTTTTATAGTTATTATTCGCACCGATTCAAAAGCACCTAAACGGGTATTATAATAAATACCCTGTCAACGAACAAATTTCACGTTTTACCGTACAGATTTTACACGTATAGGTATGGTACGGTATTCGGTTTTCATCGGTTCAACACGGTTTAAAATCATCTGGTACCGCACCCGCGTAGCATGTCTTTTCTACGCCAAAGCTGGGAGGGATGTGGCAGGCAACGTTCAGGGTGCGGTGGTTCTTCCAAGGGCGATGACCTCCGCACCCCTTGCCAGGCAAAGGGTTGAAACAGTTTTTCGGCCGCTTAATCCCGCAGCAGCAACAAAAAAGATTACACGTGCACACCCACTCCGGCAACCGTAGGCTTACATTTTAGGTGCATTTCAACGCACAGTCACGTCGAACACAATATACGTGTCCCGTCCGCACGAGATCGTTTTCACAAGAACGTGCACGAGAATTATTGGTTTTTGGACACGGTAATCGCTTAATTGGTCCGCACCATGTGTCCTACATAATAATAATACGGTGTGCACGTCGTGCGGTGGGCACACGCATCGGGTGGGTGCTGCTCGTGTACGAGTTTCATAATATCACCGTACGTTCTGTAGACATGTCGTCCTACTTCGCGCGTCCGCAGTGAATTTTTTCGTCATATTCACCCGCACATGTGGGCCACTTCTTATCCGGAGCAGAGGCGTTAGAGTTTTATATGCATACAACATTGTATTGTTGTGCGGCAAAGGACGGCAGGTATAATTTCAATGGTGGCCCGGGGAATTAATTAAGACTACGGAAAGAGGAACACAGTTAAATATATTTAATTATATCGTTTACCATGGTTATAACTAGAAAAATAAAAAATAAACACACCATTAGTTATGAGCAGTAACGGTGCTAGAGTTTGCGAGGCTCTGGGCAAAATAAATGTTGGGTCTTATAATTTATATTAATAAAATATTTTAAGTTCAGTTAAATGAGAACCGCGGGGCCCTGGGCAACTGCCCTTATTGCCCACCCCCTAACGCCGTCTCTGGTTATGAGACAATCCGCCAGTAATCTGATAAATCCAATTGAAACATTAGTCTTTTTTTTTTTTTGGATTTGGACCACTGTCCACTAGATGTCGACCGATGTTATATAACACTCGTTACTCGTTGTCTGTGTTGGACAAGGACAATATTTTATAATAGTTATTCTCGAAAGAAATTACAATGATCCGGGTTTTCGGTAGAAACGATAATTTTATGGTATGTTTATGTGTACGGCTGCGCACTCTGAAATGGAAATCGTTCAACAACGCACAATAACAATTAGATGGTTAATAATGTTTAACTCGGTAAATATTACGCGTATTGCAGCTAATTCATTACACAGAAATAGTTAAATAATATTATGTTGAAAATAAATGCGCAGTAAGAATGCATGTAGTTTATTTTCGAATATTTATTACCGAGTTCCAAACTATATATAATACAAAAATATTATTATTATTATTACCTGTATATGCTGTAACAGTACAAAAATGTCCACTTCGACTTTCTCTTCAAACAACTCGAACAAAATACAAACAGCTGATTTTGTAATGCCGTTTCAATACTTTTCCTTGAATAAGTATACTGCATTGGGTATTAATTTTATTGAACGATCATTGTAAATAAATACAAAATGTTGACTTTAGTAGGTACATCGAAAAATAACGGACACAGTACTCATTTATTATTTTCTTTAATTATAAAATCTATTAAAAATAGATTGAACAATAGAAAAAAATATTAAAATACAGTAGCCCACTTTCTTTTACATTTCTTATTACGCAGATTGAAATTAATAATTATGTGATTGTCAACTTAGAACTGTTTAGGTGAAAAATACATAAATGTATACACATTCATAGATTGAATATATAATGATAAGTATAATATATTTTAATCTACGATACTAAACAGTAGTCTGAATAAACCGGCAAATCACAAAGATTCACAGAACAAAAAGAACTAGGTATTATTATACATAATATAATAAATAAATAATCTAATCATAAAATGAGGACAAATTTAATTAATCATTTACTCACACTGTTTTTAAAACAAAACAATACATAATACATTTTATGAGCAAAATTATAAGTTTCAAATATTATATTATGATTAATTATAGGTTGAAACAATGTATTTAAAAATCTAAACAGCAATTTATAAAAAAAAAAAATCAATATTATCATTCCAGGCATTTTAGTGTCATATTATTAGAATGAAAAAAAAAACTAGATACAATTAAAATAGAAAAAAAAAGGTCAATTAGTGCCATACATTAATATTTGAAATACAAAAATCACAGATTTTATTATTTTGTAAAAATTTCCTTTCCTCATAGATGAGATTTTTCTAATATATTTATGTTCCATGAAATGAATTTGATATTTCTGAGCAAGTTCAACTCCCAAAATTATAAAATAATTTAACTAGTTGTATATTATTTTATAATTATACATAAATACATTATTTCATACAAAAATTGGTCAAAAAACATTTTACTTCTTAGATAATAAATATACAATGCTGACAAGCAATAAGGGATACAATTTTAAGTCTTTTAAATTTATTTTTATATAATTATGTTATCACCATAAAAAGAAGCTCACAGTTTTCATTTAAATATACTAAATTATATCTTGTGGAGTTCTACATAAGTAATATTTCATTTATAGTATTTTTCTAAAATTACCATAACTATATTAGGTTAGGCCTTAACTATGCTATATGTACATTACCTACCTACTTACCACAAGTATCTAAGTTTAATATAGTAGTTGTGTATAAATTAAATTATAATTATTACCTATATCCGAATTTAAAACAAAAATAATATAAATAGTTATGATATTAAAAATAATGGCACCAGATTTTTCTTCCTACATTTATTAAGTGCCAGTTTTTTTTACTATAATTTATGATTATTTTTCATGAAATAAAGTTTGATATTAAAAAATGTTAATTAAATTGTTGTATTGTATTTTTTTTCGATTCTTATTAATTCAGTATAGTGAGACACTAAATAAATCAATAATTTATTTGTGATTCAATGTAAAAATAAACAAAAATAAACTTAATTCTTTAAGAGGAATGAAAATTTATTATACAATATAAGTTATTTATAAAAAACATGATTGTTTTGTCCTTTCATAGAAAAAAAAATAATAATATAGAATAATTATAGATTGAAAATTTGATAGGTTTTGTGGATTGTCTTGAAACAAACTTATAGAATCAGTACACATATATCTGTTTGAGCTGGTCCCGTAATTCTGCGGGTATTTTGTATGAGTCCTGTTGCTGTTGCTTTTTGTGCACCAGTCTTCGCCACTTACCACGCAAGTTTTTTCGTAGTCCTTTACGGTGCTCTGCAGTCTCTTCGATGGGTACACTGCACACCAATGTGTCCTGAAACTCAATAAATAACTATGTTAATTATTTAATAGAAATCATTTTAATTCAGTAAAACTTAAATTCTCAAGATGAACTTTTATTTATAATAGAAGCATTGACTTGGAAGCAATATTGTTCCTTGAAATTATTTTTCTGAAGTGATTGTGGGTCACCAGAACAATATTTATATCCATTATAATCTTACCTAACTACTAAACCAGTAGTACCGAACATAATTTAACCTTCCCTACTATTTACTACACACTATCCTTGCCTTGATGAACTATACATTTCTCCCACTTTAATATATAGATAAGGTGATGGTGTGAACAGTATTCAATGGTCTGATATTTTTATTTATTTTTTTTATTTAATCAATGAGTTCATTATTTATAAGAAAATGTTATTAATTAAAATAAACCACGTATAAATTAATGATTACAGTAAAATTAATGATTTTATATTTTATATATCGTATACCTATCAAACAAGAAATTTTTTTAAAAATTATGTGATGTTAACAATACCAACAGAAACAATTAGAAAATATAATATTACCTGATCAGAACTGTACAGCCTGTAAGGTGAGTTATACCCATTGCTGTTTTTGGCTGCAGCGTTTTTGGCCGAATACTGCCAGAGGAACGGTAAAGGTACAGGCGCATCGCCCACATCTCTTGAAACGTTTGTGACAACAGCGACATCAACAGATTGGGCATGTGGTAACTGACAGTCCACGTTGTTATTGGTGTTAATGCTGTTGTTATTTACTACAATCGTAGTAGCGGTGTTGGTGGTGGCATTTGGTGTTGCTGCTGCTGTCGCAGCCGCAACAGCAGTTTCCTCGCGTTTCCTAAGTTTACTGCGAACCAAACGTACGGTTAAAAATTTAGAACCGTTGCTACCCACCATTTTCAAACTATCTCTCAACGTGCCAATACAATTGAAACGCGTTTTGGTCTGCTCGATAGTGTTAGTAACCGGGGCTTTCGGATAAGCCACCACACCGCCAAACGTTACTGTCTTTGCGGAGCACATGATTAATACTAGTGCACACTAGTATTTCACTATACAGGTACAGTTTTTAATTTTGTTTGCACTGGACTTAATATTAAAAATCACACGTTGCTAATGGTTTCACGGTTTGACAAAGAAAGTTTCCGCGAGTGGTATCACGTGCACACGACGAGAACGTGTGATAATATACAATGTAGAAATATTATAATAATGTACGTTTAATATTAATAATAGTAAAGTATTACGTTAACGACTAGTTTCACTATCACAGCCTGATGTATAAACCGACGAATGTACCGGAACAGTCCACGACGGAGTGTTCGACGGCGTTCGTTCGAGAAGAGGAAAAATATTTAATTTTTGAATATAAAAACAAAAAAACAAAAAAAAAACCGAATTGAAACCGAAAAACGTCAGAGTTCAACCACACACGCACGGCGGCAGCGGGTCTCGTATCGCGCGGTGACGGTGGTGTCGTCAACGGACGAACGGTTATTAACTGAACGGCTGGTGCGTGGGTCTGATCATTTTCCGGGAACAAGTCCAAAGCGGAGGCCTTTGCAAGTGGTGGTCGTCTGCCGTGGACGACAACGACGACGGTACTTGACGGCAACCGACGCACATTCGAAACGGTTGTGCGTGTGTACGACGGGAACACAGGTGCAGCGTTAGCGGACTCTCGCGAGCGTTTAGGGGTTCGTGTGTCGGGAAACCGTTAGGCGAGCGCACGCGGCCAACGGCGAGGAGTGCTGACAACGGACTAGACACGCGCGCTCCGTGCGTTCGGAAGACGTCGTCGAGAGAAGACGAACAACACGACGGGTAAACGCACGCACGCACGTAAGCACGAACGTACAACTCACACACACACACACACACACACAAAGTGCGCGGACGAACGACGACAACGCTCGTTTGCAGGCGACTCCGCATGAACGACTGTCGCGGTGCAAGCGAGACGGTTGATATGTGCTATGCCGCCGCCAACTAAACCGTACCACCACTACTATTACTACTACTATACTACAACTACTACTACTACTACTACTACTACTACTACTACCTACTACCACTTCCACTGTCACTGCCGGTGGGAGCGTCGACACTACTACCCCTCCGGCCCCGCGATCGACGCGTTCGCCCGCCGCTACGTTGCCACATCGCCCGACCCAACGTATTGAAATCCCCACGGTTCCGAGGGCGAGTCGAGAAACCTCGCTCGAATCACGGCACGACGGGTTCATTATTATAAATATTTCGTGGGCCGCCAACCCTGTTGTAACAGCAACATACGTATTTGGAAACGATTTACGAGTGCATCGTTGTGAAAACGTGAACGGTTTGCTTCACCCGTCTGCTGTGGGGTGGTGCGGCGTGTAGAAAAACTCGAGTGCGTTCGTAGTGCACGTCTGCCGCCCCGAGATTTTACGTACGGTACGAAAGATATTTCCACAGAGGTACCACCAGCTACTGTATTTTTTTTTTATTCCAACCGTTTTTACGGATAACATTTAACGTTTTCGAGTTATCGCGTAAATTCACTGGTGATGTGCGTGCGCGACGGCGAACTATCCACATTGTCTACGCGAGTCGCTTACCAATCGCGTATTCGTTTTATGTTGATATCAACGCGCTGTTTTCAAATAATTTTATTCTTCATGTTCCGAAACTAATTGTTTTAATTACAGTTAAACATTGTTTTTATATCAAAAATATCCCGTTATGATCAGTGTCGTAACTACAAAATAGGAGGCCCGTGTGCGGTAATTATATTAGGTCTCTTCTTAGGATTTATTTTTGTTGTACGTCTTATTTATAAGCGTCAATTTTTTTAGGTTTTAAAACACGTTTCACATCAGTTAGTGTGTGATATATGATGTAAAATTAAATACCTACAACTGTTGTATATTATACTTCACCACATATTTATGTAGTAAATTTATTTAAATAGTTTAGGTAGTTATGTTTTATGCCTACTCAAATACTCAATGGACTCATTGTTAAATAAATATTATAACATTCTTACCTGAATTTAAAAAAAAGTTTCTTTTTATTGTAAAATATTAATATAATATTATTAAATAATTGTGTTTGTAAAATGTAGTTTATTTTAGGCTGTCGCCATCGAAATGTATGTAAACCTTGGGGCCCGTGTGCACAACACACTCCGCACACTCGGTTTTTACAGCACTGGTTATGAAGTATACTATATGATATTTATATAATCAATTATTCTCAATATTGATTTTCTGTTATCACACTATGAATCTACTTTAATTATGAAAATTGACTCAAAAATTTTGTTTGAAAGATATATGAAGTAAATAGTTAAAAAAAAATCATTGATTTTGTGCAACCTTAAAATCACAACTATAACTGTTTTAAAATTGAATACTAGTTCGTCCATACCAGTATATTTTGTTTATTTTACTAGGTCGGAGTGCTTTTTCTTTCACTATATTCAACTTGTTTTCAATAGTTTCATTAATTTCATAAAAATGAATAGTTATTTTTCATTTGTATTACTTTTACCTACATATTAATGATATTGAAATAATTTAATTCACATGGTATCGATACAATTTTACATGTTTAACCTTTAGAACGATAACACGATGAATGAAACAATTAACAGTAAATTGGTTGAGATTAAAAGAAATTCAGCCATACTTGATATTACTGATATATGTAAATGTGTAATATTACTATACCAAATCATTCTTTATTAAGTACCATAACACCATGGTTCAAGAGTTCTAGATTTAATAAACTGTTTCATAAAGGATATAAATGTATTATATTGATCCCCGTAATACGATAAATTATAATTAAAAATTATATAATATACATGCAACACGTAATTCGAATATTAATTTGAAGTGGATCATATTATGATGATTATATTACGTACACAGATAAATATAATGTGCACTGAACGCTTAATACTTAGAAAGTTTGGGAACCCTAGATCTGTACATGGATCACATAAAATGATAACATTCAATTAGGTATTTAATTAAATAACTGATTAATTCTTTTTTCTAAGTATGTACAATATTATGCTCTCTAATTTTATCGGTTGTTAATTTTAATTGTTAAATTTTATCGTATGTTACCCTAATTTTAATGTACATGTGTATGATTTTCGCACTTTCTATAATCATTTATAATAAAGTATATACATAGTTAATTTTATTTTATACATTTTTTTTATTTTATTTATCTCATTAAATATCAACAGCTAATCGGCCATTAGTTTTTTATAATTACAATAGTATTTTAACTTAAAGTTTTTTAATTATTAATTTATAAATTATATAATCTTAGATTTGGTTGTATATTTCAATTTCATTCCCTTTTATTCCTATATGTCCTGGTACCCAAATGATGCTTATTTGTTTGCCGTGGTTCTAGTACTATATTTAATTTGTTATGCATTTTTGATGCGATGTCTCCGGAATTGAAATGGTTTTAAATGCTTTTTATAGAGCTTAATTAGTCACTTAGAATGATGAACTTAGAGTGTTTTTCTTGAATGATGATCTCAATAGCCTTTAAGATAGCCATAGAAGCTTCCGCTGTAAATATAGAACAGTTAGGCGATAGTTAGTATAATACTTTTTTTGTTGGAAATATTATGGACAATCCGACTCATTTTTGTGTTTTGGATCCATCTGTATATACTTCATAGTGGTCTCCGTAGTTTTCGAGGATGCTTTTTAAATAGTTTTCGAATAAACTATGTGGAGTTGTTCGTTTGGATAGTGTATTGTTCTATTAAAATTTTATATTTTGTTGTCCGTGATGGTTTGGTATTTAGTTCTTTGATTATAATATGAGACAAATTAATCTTGTATTCTTTCATCAAATTTGTGAAATCATTATTGTCCTTTTCGTGAATATTGTTTTTTTTTCCAAATTTGAATCGAAACGACCATCTGGGTCTTCATTAATGTCTTTTTCGCTTGGGAGGGCTAGAGTGCACTAAGAGGCACTTGTACCCCCTTCTCTAGGAAGAGAATTTACATGTGTGTGGACTTCACTCCCAGTGGAGTGGGTCCAGTGGAAGAAGAGTAGGCAACCGAATGACGGCAGGGGAGGGAGACTATATGGATATTGTTGTTGGATTTTATGGATCTTCCTGTATATTTAAGGTGAACTTCCAACTTTTTTATTTCGGAAATGGGTTCTCCGTCGAAGTTATGTATACTAAGAATAGGGCTACTGCAGAACGTACTATTACAAATCTCAATCCGCTATTGTTAACACTATCTAACAAGTCCAATGTAGACTTGGATGCTTTTCTGTACAAAATTGCGCCATAGCTCAATTTTGATTGAATTAGTGATTTAACAATGTTAATTAAAGTATTTGTGTCTCCTCCCCATGTAATGTTTTATAATGTTTTTATTATACTTATTAAGTAGCTAGTAGTAGTTTTTAAACATTTTAAATACGATTGTTAAGCAGTGTTAGGTGTTCATTTTCTAAAATTTTTTCGATTTCTCACCCTCTAAAGTCTGTTTTTCTTGATCCCCTTATGATGTTGTGACTATTAAAGTCCTCTGTTATTATGAAAGGTTTAATATTTTTTCAATGTCATTTTTGGTAACTATGTGTTGATTCGAAAGATAAATATTACATATATTAAGTTCGAGGTCTTTTAGTTTGACTGAGGCTGCTATTTCCTCCAAGTGCAAAGTTATGTTAATTATTTTGCTAAGGTAATCTGTTTTTATATATATTGCTGCGCCGCCGCTTTCTCAAATCTGTTTTGTTTATACTGTATTCTTTATAGTTATTTAATGTTCCTGTGTTAAAATTATTGAAGTTGGTTTCTTGTAG